TAAGGTTTTATTTATAATGTATTTTAGCGTCCTGTTGCACTGATTTTCATCCATGATATGTATACAGTGGCCGTCTTGTAGTGCACTCAATTTCACCTGTTACTTCACGACATGTTTCGGCAACGTAATGCCATCATCAGGTGCCCTAATTACGCTAATCTATTGCATTGCTTGCCTTTATATGTCTTTATAAAAGTATTTAAAAAGTGCGCATTTGTCAACTATAATAAATTTACAGACACTAAAACTTGTTAAGATTATTCATCTTATGTGTCTTAATTAAAACTTGCATGTGGTTCTTCCACTATGGGGGTCGTTTTTCTTATATTCTGTGTAAACCGTGTCTTGTGATGTGTGTTCCCTTCTTAGCTGCGAGTGTTGTCAAGATTAGCGTAATTAGGGCACCTGATGATGGCACTATGTTGCCGAAACATGTCGTGAAGTAACAGGTGAAACTGAGTGCACTACAAGACGGACACACTATACATATCATGGAGGTTTTATTTATATTTGTCTGATAGCCGTGCGCGCTCCCTATAGGTGTAAATCGAATTCGGCTCGCCAGACCAGTTGTACTTTTCATTTGTTTCTTTTAGACCACATTAATTCAAACGACGTTTTTGGCTTTATGCCGGGGACTGTATCAACCCGAGCATTACTGCTCAGGTTAATAAAAATAAATTGTGAAATAACCAATTTGAAAGTTTTTCCCCGTGATTTTCAAAACCCATGCCACCCCTGAGTCAACCGACATTTCGGGGAAACATGTCGCCCCATCTTCAAGGCTTACATTTCAGCCATAAAGATGGAGGCGGCGTGTTCCTCCGAAACGTCTGTTGACTTTCAGCTGACTTCACTGCGTTGTCTCCAGAATATAGAACTCTTCGTTTCATTCGCTGTTTTCCTCAGGCTGGAGGATCAACTACAAGAACGAATCTGGAGCGAATTTCTGCCTCATTGAAGCACTCTGTCGAAACACAAATATTAGAACTGCCTTTTTCTCAACTTTCTGGTGCCTTCAGTATGTAGTGAGAACCATCACAAGGACAATAAGTTCTGGGAAGAACTAATCATCTTCTTTCATTTGCTACGACACGGATCGCACAGAAAAGACACCCCCAACAATTTTTTTTGCCATGTGAACATTTTTACCTAGTTGTTACCTAGAAACGATAGTGAGATGCACAGACCCACAAACTCTTCTTTGATAAGACACGGACCGCATAGAAAATGCCTCCAACAATTCTTTGTTGCCATGTGAACATTTTTACCTAGTTGTTACCTAGAAACGATAGTGAGATGCACAGACCCACAAACTCTTTTTTGATAAGACACGGACCGCATAGAAAACGCCTCCAACAATTCTTTGTTGCCATGTGAACGTTGTTACCGCGTTGTTACCTGTAAACTATGGCGAGATACACAGACCCGCAAACTCTTCTTTGATTAGACACGGACCACATAGAAAATTGCGCGTCCAACAGTTCTTCTATTGTAGCGTGTATTCATTTCGGCGGAAATGTGTTTACCGAGCCGTTGCCTTGCAACGATAGGAGGGACACATATACAGACACACAGACTGATGGAAGGGATTTCTGAAGAACGCCATTGAGAGGGGATCAGATGCAGTTACATACGTACCAAGTTTCATAAAGATTGGTTCAGGCATTCGAAAGTTGATAAGGGGGATACACGGACACATGGGATGGAGATCGCGTAAACACACTTTAGTAAAATAACGCTAACAAGAATTTTACGGTTTTAAGCGTTAAGTTCGCGTATTTTAGAATGAATCCCCTCCTCGCAGCAATAATTATACTTTTGCGTTTAAACTATGTGAATATAGTAGAATTTGCTGCACTTCAAATGTACGATTGTTATGATTTGTTTAATTCACGTTAGTATCTTCTGGATAACGCAGTCAGCATAGCAAGTGGCTACGGGATGGCCTACCAAGGGTTCGGAGTTCGGGGGGTAAGAATTTTAATTTATCCATGTTTTCCAGACCTGCTCTGGAGCCCAGCCAGTCTCTATCCAATACGTACCGGGGGCTTCTTCCCCGGGAGTAAAGCGACCGGGGCATGAAGCTGACCACTCACCTCCAACTAGTGCCGAGGTCAAGAAAACGTGGATTTATACACCCACTCCCCCCATACGTCCTTATGTCGAAGTGCTTAATTAGTTAAGCACAGGGACAACAATATGTTAGTTTAAGTGGTAAAGCTTTTGATTTGGATTCGTGAGGTATCCGCTTCAAATCTCGTCTGGGAATCCAACTCTCCTATTTAAGAATTTTGCTGATTTTCCTCAGTCCCTTCAAGCAAATGCTGGGATAGTACCTCAAATTAGGCCCCAGCCGCTTACTTCGCATTCTTTAGAACATTCTCATCAGAGCATCCACTCTACAGCGTGAGCTGCTGACGGCGTCGTTATGTAAGCATTCATGCTTCGTATTCCGGAAGTGCCTCGATTCAGATGTCGGAAAGGACACCGGTTATTTTGACTGAGGTTGTTCATGGTTTTCCTCAGTCCCTCGAGGCGTCTAATTTGTCATTCATCGATCATCACTACCTCTTCATTCAAAACCCCGTTCTATCCAGTAGGCATATTCATGATTTCCTTCACAGGAGGATGCTTACTTAATATATTAAATTGATACAGACAAACAAATAAACTCCGTGATTTCAGTCCGCAAGCGAACCATACCGACCGAGCGACCGCCGCTTGTCGGCTAAGTTTAGTGCCAACTTTAGCGGATAGAGGGTGTCGCGTGGTCAGCGCAATGAATCCCCACGGCAGTAAATTTCGGTTTTCTAGACCGGAGCCTCTGTTTCCTTGAAATAGCTCCTCAATTATCATCACGAGGCTGAGTGGACCCCATTCCAGACCCACTATTTCTCCGAAAAAATCTGGTGACGCCAGTAATCGAACCCGGACCTCTGGATCTGTAACCAGGAACATTGGCCACTAGACCGCAGAGGCGGTCATATTAAGTTGATACAGCTTTCTTAAATCTTGGAATGAATCAAGCCTGAAATAACGTCTGCTGCCTTCATTGGACAGGTAACCAGTGCAAACTTTGGCTTATGTGTCTTGTATCCTGACCGAATATTTTCGTGATTTTTCCCAGTCCTTTCAACCGATACCATGCTAGTGTTTTCGAGTATTTCCCTCCATTTCCAGGTCCACCGACCATTCGTTCCCATCCCTAACGTATGTAGTTGGCATAGCGTCTTATAAGATCTGCCAGTGAATGAATGAATTGGCTGTACCGTCATATTGCCTCTTGTATTCATTCGTGAGGCTTTTGGTCTGAACCTCTGAAGAAGAAACTAATGCCCTCTTTAACTTTGTAAGTTCCTTCAGCATCCACAAGAGAAGTTCTTATTAGTTCCAAAAACTATACCGAGGTATAACGATTTTTTCCCGGTTCCATTTCCCCGTTAAGCCTACTATATTTCCCCGAATGTACTGCGCATGCCCCCTGTGGAGGCGGGTTAGAATACCTCCACTATAGCCCTGCGAGTCATAGAAGGCGACGGAAAAGGAACCCGGTGCCTGGGGGTATAACCGGGCCATCCTGCCCCGGGGGAACAAAAATAGAGGAACATGGTCCTCCATGTTGGAGTTCGGACACCTTACTCTGTAAAAAAAATTCTGTCACGAAATCCAAAGAAGTGAAAACCGGATGACATTTTGGAGAATCTTCCAAGGAAGGCTATGGCTGAAAACAGGGCTGTTTTGCCAATGGTGATGATCATGCTGCGCATATTTTTATTAAAATAACTGAATAAAAGCTGACTACACATTTTTATATATTGATGGTTCTTAATGTATTCAGAAATCTTGAAGTCGGTGATGTGTAAATAAATATGTTAATTTAAGTTGTCAAAATTATGGTACGCATGACGCTGATCATTCTGAGCCCTTATTTATTTTGATGATTATAGATGACCATGAAATTTATTTCTAATTAATTCTCGGTAATTTAAATTTCAAAAGTCTTATGTTTCGATATTACTGGAAATGTATCGTGATCTATAATATCGTATTTCATCGTCTGGGACGTGCAATACGGTGTTTATGTTGAAAATTTCTAGATTCTGGCAGAAACAAGAAGTCCGGAGTTATGACATTTACGATCAGTCATAAATTTAGCTCGGGTACAGGGAACCGGACGCGCCTAAAAGGACAGGTCAGAGCTTGTTACAATTGCCTGTGAATGAGGGCCAGTATGATTGGGTTGCCTCGTTCAAGCTTCCTACGGAAGATGGGATGAAAATGTATATGTCAACACCATCTTTCGAATTCCCGGCGTGGGGGTGCAAGCCATTCCACAAAAAAGGAGACTTTCACAATATTCCGAACTGAACGGACGTGACCCTTGCACGCTCCGGGACATAGCTAGCCGATAGTGTAACGCTGTAACTTAAAGCTAAGAATACATTAATTTAACAGTGTGGTGAATTAGCAGGTGAATAAACGTCAATTGGCTCAACTCTCAGAAAAACGCTTTCTTCGGCATCGCTACCCTGAGACTCATGCAAACCGACCCAGCTAGTTTCCCGTACCTATACCGATCTTCCTTAGTTTGATCTGTGAGGACAACTTCCAGTAGCCATCATACACTGTCCTAAGGTAGAAACAGGTGTAGCAGGGATAGCACCATTCCGACTGCGCTGATACAAACAAAGGCGGGTTGGAAAAGAGCGGTGTTACGCACTATAACCGGTAAGGCATTAGGGGCAACGTGTAGCTGAAGGGAAACAAGTAACGTGGTCAGTGCCATTACAGATAAGGGTGAAGAAAATTTTGTCTGTGGGAAGGAAAAGGCAGACACTTGGATATATCTCACAAGTATCACTTTGATTCTATCCCTCGCATAATGCGGTTTGGTTTCAACTCCATGGAAAACTTTCCCGCCGTTCAACATTGTCCACACTGTGCGCTCACCAGCAGGAGTTGACGCGGCTATATAGGAGTTGCCACTGCCTGCACTGTCAGGCAGGCAGAGTAGTGCTTGAACCCCCATGGACTCTCATGTGCCTGTTCAAATTTCCCGATTGCGAGAAACGCAGTAAACACAATTTACATTGGTATGGCTTCTCACCGCTATGAATTCTCAGATGTTTCGTTAGGGTGGACGAATCCGAGAAAGCCTTTTTACAAAGTCTACATCGGTAAGGCCTTTCTCCCGAATGTGTGCGCATGTGAGTTGTGACTGAAGAAGACTGAGAGAAACGTCTATCACAAATTGGACAACGGAAGGGTTTTTCACCAGAATGTGTACGCACATGCGCGGTAAGATTTGCTGCCTGGCTAAATGACTTATTACAGTCCACACAACGGTACGGTTTCTCCCCCGAATGTGTTCTCAGATGCGTCTTTAATGTACTGGGACGCGCGTAAGTCTTGCCACATATTCGACACAAATTTGGGCGCTGTGATTCGTCACTGTTTACTGATGTCATTGCTGCGGCTGCGGCTGCAGCTGCCGCTGCTGCGGAAGCCATTTTGTTCTGATGATACGTACTTCCGTTCGCCATCTTGTTTTGACAGATACTTCCGTTCCGTCTGTTGTTACAGACATTACGTGATGACACTGGCATTCCTCCGGTTGTAGTGGAAACTGGTGCGAAACCTGTTACTTTACTGATCACTGTTTTGAAGGGTGAGTTAGTTGTGATGAGAGGTGGCTCTGCTGGTGCTGTTGGAGGACGGAAATCCGCTGTGAAGGAATATGTGGCCCCACCAGCGTAGGTTTGCGGACTCAGCAAGCCTTGTGTCTGAGGGTAGACAGGCGATGGATTGGGCGTGGTTGATGTCCATTGCATCTGGAAGAATTGCATACATTCAAGTGTTGGCAGGTTGATTATTTGGGATATTATGCGAAGTTGAATCAACTGGTCAATAGGTCATTGAAGGTCGCAGTGCAAGGGCCGAATCATATGGCCCATCCCTTACTCATTCATTCATGAATCAACTTGTGGATTAGACCCCGCCATAGCTCAGGCTGTTAGTCGCTAGATTCCCACCACGGCGGCCCGGGTTTGGTCATGTGGGATTTATGGTGGATACAGTGGCGCTGGGCCGGTTACGGCAGCCGAGCGGTCTAAGGCATGTACTGTCTTCGCTCGCTTGGAAACCGGGAGCGTGTGTTCGAATCCCACTCAGAGCATGGATTTTTAGTTTATGTGCGTTTTTCTGTGTTTGTGTACAGGTAGAGGCTTTGCGACGATCTGATCACCCGCCCAAGGAGTCCTACCGAATGTGTAAGATCTAGAAAAACCGAAAACTGAACGGAGAAGTTCATGGAGGTATGCCTAGGTCCACTGGAGGTGTAGTGCCAAGGTGGGGGGAAGAAAATGGCGCTGGAACATGTTTTCTCCGAGTACTTCGGTTTCCCCTGCCAATTTTCATTCCACCAATTGCTCCACGATCACCATCATCTATCACCTTGGGCTAGTACAATAGGCCAGTAGTGGGCACTGTGCCAAGTGTACTCAGTCTCACCTCACTAAAAATAATAACAACGAAAATAACTGGTGGATTACGTGGGGTCGAATTGGACAAAACGTGTGGGAGAAAGCGCTTGTCTCTTCATTCAGCCCTGTAATAACTAATTAAGTAACGAACTAACTAACTCCTTGAAGCTGAGTTCGTCTTGAGAGGCGAATATTCTCTCATTCTATAAGAAATTCCCCGTCTTTTATGGAACCCGAAGATCCATTATCACGTTTACTAGTGTCCAACACTGGTCTTTATCTTAAGCCATACAAATCAAGTCTAGTACCTCTGGAAACATGGAGGAATCTCACGGACTGAAGTGAATTGTCAGCTTCACGTTCCGGCCTCTTTGAAACCCTGATCGCCTAACATAAGCGGACGTTGCGGATGTGATAAAGAAAAGAATTCCAGCTTTTTTAACGTGTAACTGCCGGGATGTGTTCCTTAAAATTTTTCTTAGTAAATGTGGATCTCAGTTGCATACACTGTAAAAAGGACGGAGAGTGTGTTGTGCTCCGTAATGCGGTACCGCACAGTAATACCGAGGTTACGATTGCGTGGAGCTATATCTCCACTCCACCATACAGCTGTATGACAAGGAGATTATTTCAGAACTTTACTGCTCTCTTTACTAGATGTTCCGCTTCGAAACCCATTCAAAATATTCAAGACTGGAAAAGTACAAAATTCATGTTACAAGAAGATTTTCTAGATAAGAGTTTTCAGCAACATGCCGACGGCTGAAGACAAAGATATTATTTTTCAACTGAGGTTCTCATAGCGGTGTCTTTGGAGATGTGACGCCGTGTATTCCGATAGAAGGTCATCGACTTTTCAGAGGAACATTCTCGTTCTTCGATCCTAAAGATGGTGACAGTATGTTCTCTGAAAATTCAGTGAGCTTCTACTAGACTGCACGCTGTCATACCTCAGAAGGTAGCAAACACTCTTCAATGAATCGGCCGACGAAAGATCATGCTGAAATTCGCACAGAAAAGAAAGCTCCCCCAAACTACATAATGAAAAAGTAAAACACGTTGTAGTTACGCCCTGTTCTAACAGAACTTCTGGTAAAGAGAGGAGGGAAGGGAAAGAGTGACGACAGCAGACAGAAAGAGAAGGAAATAGATGGACAAAGGAAGCGAAATCCCAGGGTAATTCAGTGTGTTCAGTGGCCCGGATCGATAAGATGTTAGGGGCTACATCCGCCCACGCAGTCCCGGTAGCTCCTCCCACACAGAGTGGTTGTCATCGCAACAAACAATAAAGATGGCTTCTCGGAGACCCGTGCCTGCCATGATGCACACACCATGGCGGCGGTGGTACTTCCCCCCCCCTTAGTAAAATTCTCTTTCTTTGCCCTGCCAGTATTAACTTTTTATTATTATTATTATTATTATTTGTTTTGTTTTTGTGTGTGTGCATGTGTTTTAATTCCTTCTGTTGCTCGTGTTTACATTATAATTGGCCTTTGGGCTGTTAAGTAAGCGCGTAAATGAATAGAGAAAAGAACTGAATTGAGTTATTATTAGTAGCATATGCGTCTGTCACCTGGATTAACTTTGCATTGTTAGATTCCAATAAATTTGAAAAATATACAAAATAGATATTAGCGAGTTTATGATTATACCTAGTCAATTTTGTCGATACGCGGTAATGTAGTTGGTTGAGGCACTATGCTACAAGCCGGAAGGTCGCGGGTTCAAGTCCCGATGAGATCATTGGATTCTTTTAATTGACGTAAACCCTGGGGTCGACTCAGCCTCTAACAGAAATGAGTACCAAGAATGTTCCTGGGGGTAAAAGGTGGCCGGCGCCTAGGGATGACAACCTTGCCGCCATCTATGAGCCGATTGTCTAGAAAATGTGGGAACCTCAACATCTCATAACCCTATGGGCCTCCACGGCCTGTTACAAGATATCTTTACTTTTACTTACTTACTTAACTAGTCGGTTTTACCAATATGATTTCTCCAGCAGTTATGGCTTAATTGAGGAATATTTAGAATTTAGATAAATTTATTCCAGAAGGATAATCTTTTTTTTTTTTTTTCTTAAGAGGAAAATAAACTGTCACGGGTACAGATAGTTTCCATGTAGCTACCAAATTATTTAGGGATGCTAGTATTCACTACAGTTCTTCATACGAGTCACAAAGCTAATAATGGTACACGGTAGGTTTTCATATTTTTAATAGAAATACGGCCTCGTTTGCAAATCCTGTTATTTCTCTACTTTACTTCTTTTTATTTTCTTTTTAGTGCTCGTCCGTAATAGACCACCGCTGTTGGAAAGTACTCTTTAAAATTGATCGTACCGTCTTCTGGGTTGTGGCTGCAGCCACCTGCTCACGCTGGTTCCCCGCTCGCATATTTTTATACCCTGAAGATGGATGCGATACGTTCCTCCGAAGCATCGGTTTACATAATATCTACACGGTGCCACATCCCAGAAGACGACATTCTTCAGGATATTCATAAATTGTAATTTACAAGTTTTCGTCAGTGCCTCACAGCAGATTAAAAATGTATATGTAAGCGTTTATATAGGCCCTTGAACAATGTCCATTAAAAAAATCGTTTAATGATATCGGTACCGTCAAATGAACCTAAGTTGTACGAATACATTATCAGATTCTGTTTTGTTTCAAAAAGATAAATTGACACATAAGGATTGTGACCGCAAGGGTTCAGTTAAAAAAAAGAATCTCTCCCTGTGAGCCTCAAGGGGCTTAGTGTCAAGACGCTCCGATCGGCGTTAAACCGCCAGTCGTAAAGTAACTCTGACTGTGACAATCTATAAAAGGTTAATATTGTTAGGCCCATACGTCGGTTTGTACTGTTTTATATGAAACAGAAATATAACTGTAAAAATCTTCTGCGCAGCTGCTCATCGAGGCAAAATACTTGCGCATGAAAGGGGATGTAGAGCGTGTCATCTTCTGTAATTTGGCTAAACGCCTTAAGGACCGACGCTCCCTTCTCTCACCCTAGCTGGAGATTATGCTGACAATGAACGGCGTTTGCAATTGCATCTACGTGTGGGATTTAAGATACTCGAGGCGGTATAACCACAACATCTGCTGTGGAAAGTTGTCAATATGATTCAAAGAAATGTAGTAATATCGGTATAACCATTACATCCGGTGTGGAGGAAATGCCCCTACCTAATTCAAGAAACCGAGCCATGGCTGTATAACCATTACATCCGGTGTGGAGGAAATGTCACTACCTAATTCAAGAAACCGAGTTATGGCTGTATAACCATTACATCGGGTGTGGAGGAAATGTCACTACCCAATTCAAGAAACCGAGTCATGGCGGTATAACAATTACATCCGGTGTGAAGGAAATGTCACTACCTAATTCAAGAAACCGAGCCATGGCTGTATAACCATTACATCCGGTGTGGAGGAAATGTCACTACCTAATTCAAGAAACCGAGTTATGGCTGTATAACCATTACATCGGGTGTGGAGGAAATGTCACTACCCAATTCAAGAAACCGAGTCATGGCGGTATAACAATTACATCCGGTGTGAAGGAAATGTCACTACCTAATTCAAGAAACCGAGCCATGGCTGTATAACCATTACATCCGGTGTGGAGGAAATGTCACTACCTAATTCAAGAAACCGAGTTATGGCTGTATAACCATTACATCGGGTGTGGAGGAAATGTCACTACCCAATTCAAGAAACCGAGTCATGGCGGTATAACAATTACATCCGGTGTGAAGGAAATGTCACTACCTAATTCAAGAAACCGAGCCATGGCTGTATAACCATTACATCCGGTGTGGAGGAAATGTCACTACCTAATTCAAGAAACCGAGTTATGGCTGTATAACCATTACATCGGGTGTGGAGGAAATGTCACTACCCAATTCAAGAAACCGAGTCATGGCGGTATAACAATTACATCCGGTGTGAAGGAAATGTCACTACCTAATTCAAGAAACCGAGCCATGGCTGTATAACCATTACATCCGGTGTGGAGGAAATGTCACTACCTAATTCAAGAAACCGAGTTATGGCTGTATAACCATTACATCGGGTGTGGAGGAAATGTCACTACCCAATTCAAGAAACCGAGTCATGGCGGTATAACAATTACATCCGGTGTGAAGGAAATGTCACTACCTAATTCAAGAAACCGAGCCATGGCTGTATAACCATTACATCCGGTGTGGAGGAAATGTCACTACCTAATTCAAGAAACCGAGTTATGGCTGTATAACCATTACATCCGGTGTGGAGGAAATGTCACTACCTAATTCAAGAAACCGAGTCATGGCGGTATAACCATTACGTCCGGTGTGGAGGAAGTGTCACTACCTAATTCAAGAAACCGAGTCATGGAGGTATAACCATTACATCTGGTGTGAAAGAAATACCACTACCTAATTCAAGAAACCGAGTCATGGCGGTATAAACATTACGTCCGGTGTGGAGGAAATGCCACTACCTAATTCAAGAAACCGAGTTATGGCTGTATAACCATTACGTCCAGTGTGGAGGAAATGTCACTACTATCAGGATCTGGATAAGAGATAAAGTCCCTGTCCTTAATTAGTTCAGCACCAAGCCATGAAGACATATGGGGGAGTGGAGGTATAGCTGCAGCAGTCACGACCTCAGCAGTAGGTGGATGTGAGTGGTCAGTTTTGCTCCCCGGGGAAAGAGCCCCGTTATCCATTGAATAGGAGACTGGGCTGGGCCCCAGAATCTGTCTGGACGATGCGGAGAAGAGAAAAATTTTGCCCCTTCCGGGAATCGAACCCTGGCCATCAAGACCGAAGCCCGTCTCTATCCCGAGTCAGGATAACAGGAATGGGAGCTGAGTGCAGCTTACCTGTGGGCAAGTCATCTGGTGCTGCAAGTTGTCCGGCATGTTGGCCGGGTACCCATGCATCGTCATGTTCATGGACACGTTGACACTCATGCTGGGGAACATGTTGTGGTGCTGGGCTGGCGTCTGGGCCCCTGCTGTGGTACCAGCCCCAAACATTGCGCTTTGGTCTTGCGTGCCCATACAGTACTGCGAGGATCCGTAGCCACCGCCGGGCGACATCACCTGCAACAGACAAGCTACACGTAGCGTCTCTGCTCCGAGCTGACCCATCTGTTGTTATTATTACTGTTTACTTAATAATAGCCCTGGTAGTTTCTTGTTTAATAAAATAATAATTGCATTCAAGGTATATATTTTTTATTTTCTTTCCTCTTATTGATAATTTTTGTGTAAAGGAAATTATTATTGTATTGATATTACTGTTAACATTAATACTATTCCATAAATGATAGGTCTATAAGTTGCCTGGTTTGTAACTTTGTTTCTATGTGTATATCTTTCTATTCTCGCGCGTCTTCTTACAGTCCCTTGTGGCTGTTAATTCATCGTATAAGTGAATAAAGAATTTAATTATTATTATTATCGTCATAGCGCAGTCGGTATAGCTGCTGGCTACGGACTGGTTGGCCGAGGGGCCGGATTTCGAGTCCTGGTTAGAGCAAGATTTTTCTCCTCTCTACATCTTCCAGACGTAGAGCCTCCTATCCAATGGGTCTTGGGTGTAAAGCGGCCGAGGTATGAAGCTGACCGCCCACCTCCAACTAGTGCCTAGGTCAAGAATACGTGGATCTATACATCCACCCTGACACACGTTTTAATGGCGTAGTATTTAATTAGTTAAGCACAACTTTACCTTTCTTCCAATCATCAGCTGTATCGTAGCGTCATCATTGTGAACAGGACCATTGCTGACTGGAACCAGTTACCTGAAGGGGTGATTGGGACTCACCCCGTTAAAGCGCATATATTTAGAAAGAAGGTTAGGAAAGCAAAATTAGTAGAGCAAGTGAAGTGAAGAGAAGTGAAGTGTACTTGTATTAGGTCATTGTACTTGTACTGTACTGTGAAAATTGTTTCTTGAGACGTATGTGATTTCTTGAGACGTATGTTTTTTCTTGAGACGTATGTGATGTATCTGTGTTGAATGTATGTCCGCTTTTGTAAACACTGCCACCGGACATAAGCCCAATTGCAGTAAATAATAAATATATAATATATTTGTATTTGGTTTAGCCTTTTATCTAATGAGTAACAGGGCCTCTTTCCGAGGGAGAAGGCGGGTAGAGCGTGATGCTAGTCGCCTGCTCCATCAAATTTCAGGGTTAAAATGTTTGGAGCTTCACCCCTACTCTCCTGTACATCTTCATGGGGTGGTATGTGATACAAGTAACTCTGTGGTGATGAGCCTATCTTGAGAAGCTGCCAGTCGCTCAGCTACGTAAGAATTTCCAGACATTTTACGGAACCCGAAGGTTTATTACAGTGTTCACAAGAGCCCTCCACTTGTTCCTATCCTGAGCCAGATCAACCGAGTACATATCACCCCATCCCATCCATCTAAGATTCATTTTAATATTATCCTCCCACCTCCCACGTGGCAATAGAGTAACACTATTGTTTCAAGGACTGGAATCACAAACATCTCTGAATACGGTAACTGTTTCGACAGTGTTTTCTGTTGGTTGATGCTGTTCGTCTCTACAAGATCTCACCTGATGTGGATGAACTGTATAAGACAGGGACGCGGAAGGTCCCTGGTACGATCCTTGGCCTGAACACTGTTGGCCAGTGTTGTAGGAGCCAGCAAAATTTCCGCAAGGAGACAGCTGGCCCGCTGCCTGGCCGGGGTGGACAACCGCGTGCTTGAGGGACAACAGTACGTCCGCCATGTCATGTGGTTGCTTCTCCTTCAGCACCGGAAACTCCGTCCTTGAGACAAACAGTAAAACCTATCTAGAATGGAAATTACATTAAACCTGTACAATGTCGTGCAAATAAGTTTCGAGACTTATTTTTTAATTTCGCGCAGAGCCATCTGGAAACGCTGTTATTTGGAATGTTAGGTGACGCAACAAGCCAGAACTCGCATGGAAAATTTGGATAACTTGTCTTCAGTATTCGTTGAACAATAGCTCTTTAGATCACTGTGTCGTCAACTCTGTCCAGACGCGAAAATGTAGCGTAGGAAGGAACAGAATGAATGGGAATTACTGTGTTGAATTGGAGAAATCGCCAGGTGAAACGTTATAGAAATATTAAAAGCCGTGTATGGTGAATCCCCAGGCCACTGAAGCCACGGGCGTCAAAGTGCAAGATCAAAACAACGCTGATCTGCTTTTTCGACATCAGCGGTATCATCCACTTTGAATCTGTACCCACAGGGACCACTGTTAATCAGAGGTTCTACGTGGAGGTGTTGTATTGATGCCGTGAGGCACAAGCGAGGAGAGTTGTGGTGAGATTTCCCATTGATCCTTCATCACGACAACGCGCCGGAACGTTCTTCGCTTCGAGTGTCGCAGTTTTTAGCAGGAAAAGGCATCTCTGCCATGGACAATCCTCCATACTCTCCTCACTTGGCTCCAACTGACTTCTGGCTGTTGCCAAAAACAAAAGTCTGCTGAAAGTGAAGCGTTTCTCGGACGTTGAGGACATTAAATCATCTGTGAAAAAAAAATGTTCACAGATATTCCAGTTCAGGATTTTAAAAACTGTTTTGAACAGTGGCCGAAGCGCTGGGAACTTTGGAAAGAATTTGAGGGAGATTACTTTGAAAAATTCTAGGTTGCTAATATCTGCAGCTTTTAAAATAAATCTTGAAAGAATTATTCTAGGCACTTATTTTCCCGAACATATATTTATAGGGAAAATTGTTCTGGTTCCAAGCGTGTGGTGTGAGATAAACGTAACCTGTTTGGGGCGGAAACGGCTGTTATAAAGAGCGGCTATATTGCGGATTGTCTGCTTGAATAGATTGCATTTTGTCCATAAAAGTTATTGCTTATTTCCGGATTTCACGTCTGCCAAGAAACATGGAATCTACGAACTTCAGCAGGATTCAAAGAAAATTAGTTTGTACCGGAAAGTTTCGGGAAATGCCAAACCCTGCAATTCCTAGCCTTGAAATGAGTCCGTAAGAGGCTGTATATTTTTCGTTGCAGTTTAGCACTGGAATATATTTATATAATGATACATGCATACACCCCGCCTTTTACGTTGGCTTACCGTTTTTCGCAGAGAATTTTTGTTTCGATAATTTTGTAGGCCTATGCCCTAAATTTCTAGGGTAACTGACATGAAGCCGGTCACAGTAGCCGCGTGGTCTAAGGCATGAACTGTCTTCGCTCGCTCAGACGCTGGAATCATGGGTTCAGATCCCACTGAAGACATGGATGTTTGGTGTGTGTGTGTGTGTGTGTATACGCGCCTTTATTCAGAGTTTGTGTTGTCCAGTGCTTAGGTAGTGACATTGCGACGGGCTGATCACTCGCCCAAGGCTTCCTACCGTCTGTGTAAAAGAAGATAACGAACTAAATAGTAGACCTGGGCCATAAATGGGCTGGAAGAGCTGTTGCAAAAAATAAAAAATACTGACATCAAGATGAGCCATGAATATACAGTATTAGTATAAAAGAAATAGACACTTTGAACGTTTTATAGAAACCGAAGTATCGTTGATATCGCCAAAATACGTACTTGCATGGTTTTTTAATATATGTCTTTAAGTTTGTATCATCATCATCATCATCAGACGACAGGTTCACAGTCTCTTCCAAAACAATTCCTCCACTTAATGCGATCTAGAGCTTTCTCCTTCAAATGACAGTATCCTCTTCTGTCCCCAAGGTCATCCAGCATCTTCTTACGTCTTCTTCCTCGTCTTCTTGTCACTTCTATCCGCCCCTCTATCTTTCCTTCAATAACTTCTTTTAGAAGGCAGTTACCGCGTAAGATATGACCAATCCAATTAGCCTTCCGTTTTCTTATTTCGTGTAGGACATTCCTCTGCTCACTGACTCTAATTAACACTCTAATTAACTAATTTCTCACATAATCGGTCCAACTGATCTTCTCCATCCTTCTCCAACAACTTTCTAGATGTTTCTGATCTACTGCCCTGTATCACTAAGTTACAAATGTTATATTTGTGAGCCTTTCGTCACACGACAGATATCAGTACGACAATCCAGTTCGTTCCAAACACACCGGATCATGTCCTCGTCAACACAAGTAACAGTTTGATGCGTTGCTTTAGATCGTTTACACTTACAGGAAGTGGAGGAACAAAAAATCTGTCTTTGATATATCCCCACAAGGAAAAGAATCAGTGGAGTCAGATCGGAATTCTTGGGGGTCAACTTGTCAGCGCCATGCTCTGGTCTGTTGAGCGGTGTTCAGAACGAACTGGGTTTCGTATTGATATCTGCCGCGTGACAAAAGTCTCCCACATAGAACATTTGTATCTTAGTCATACAAACTTAAAGATATATACTAAATTCCATGTAAGTATTTTGGCTATATCGATAATACTTTGGTTGCTATAAAACGTTGAAAGCGTTTATTTCTTTTACACTAACCCTGTATTTTTGGCCATCGAACGTAAACAATTTGGTTTATTTTCCTAGTGAAATATTTTAAATACTCCAACTGATAATCAGATTTTGTAACATATAGAAAAATGGGTGAACAATAATTCGTTGTCACTGAAAAATCTATGAAAATGCTGAAATCCTTATCCATTTCGAGATTTCTTCCCCAATATTAATCGTAATTCTATCCTCATTATCCCTTTCAATCTTTCACGCCGATTTTTCTGAAGAGATCTCAATACCAAAATTTTGTGTGCAATTCTTGGCTCCGACATTCCGGCCACTGCATAGCTCACCATTATTTTTATAATTTTAATAGCATGACTTGTCGTTGGCTGGTTTATTAATATTATTATTATTATTATTAGTGGGGTGAGACTGAGTCCACTTGGTACTGCGACCACTACTGGCCTGTTGTACCAGCCTCTGATGATAGATGATTGTGATTGTGGAGCAATTGGTGGAATGAGATTTGGCAATGGAAACCGAAGTACTCGGAGAAAACTTGCCCCAGTGCTACTTTGTCCACCACAAATCCCACATGACAAGACCCGGGCTAGAACACGGGCCGCGATGGCAAGCCGACGACTAACCGCCTGAGCTATAGCACGACCTTTGCTGGTGTGAATCACCAAGAACCCAATTTTTGCTGTAATATCCTGAATTTCGCCTTATAACCCTCTGAGTTACAAATAAGTTACATTTAGCATCATAAGGTCTACAGGCTAAAATTGCCAAATGTTTTCTTCGAGATTTTGGATCCATCGTCAGCCTTTATATTGTTTTATAACAGAGCTAACCATCAGAAGAGATACTGCCTACCATAGAAGTGTGTACTCTACTGAGAATATTAGAGAAATTGCGTTGCACAGTCTTAAAATTGTTTCCATTATACTTTTGTCAAATACTCATGTTATCGGTAACGTCTGACATAGAAGTTACCGTATTTACGCATGTATAGGCCGCGTGCGTGTATAGGCCGCAGCACAATTTTCAGACAGAAATTATAGAAAAAATAATTTTCTTGGAATATTATTTCAGGAGTAGAACACCCTGTATTACTAATTATGAATATAATTTTTTTTAAATGAAGTGTGATTTCGAATATTTCGAATATAAGCCGCACCCCAGTTTTCCTCTTGAATTTTTGGCAAAAAAATGTGCGGCCTATACATGCGTAAATACGGTATATATAATTTTGTTATATATAAGCGTATATTATAGGAGTCTTCCCTTGGATGAAAAATTATGAATTGTACGAGTCGCTCTTTTCTTTAGGATGAAAATGTATGAAATTCTATTTGAGCTTCCTTTGTATGTAGAATCAGTATCGTGTAGTAAACGTGAAGTTGTTTTTTTGCCTAATTAACTGGGCATCGCCTCACGAAGACGTGTGCGGGAGTTACAGGCATTACTAATTTCAACACTCAACGGCCGTGAGTTTCATGCATCGGGTGCTCTATCTCCAGGACAAGATCCCCCTGTACTCTTTGGCTACGAGGCTGGGTTGATTCCGAAATCGGTCTGAACGCTGTGGAGGAGAGACAAATCTCTTACACCTGCCGGAAATCGAACCCGATTCTTTGACCTTCCAGCTCATAGTCTGTCCCTATACTGACTGAGCTATCTCGGTTCCCGGATGCAGAGTGTCTGTAAATGAAATTTGTATTCACATTCACAGAACCTCAGAAAATTCAAAGTCAGAGTCAAAGTCACATTGCGACTGACGGTCAGTCAGTCAGTCTTGGTGTCGAGCCAAATCTGGGGCTTATGACAAGATATTTATTACTTTTTGACAGTTTGGGGTCTTGTTATTTTGGGGCCCCCTCTCTGACGAGAGAACGGGTCTGTCTTTTGTTAGTCATTGTCTGCAGTAGTAAGTCATTTGTCATAATGTAAGGGATATTTACATTTTACATGTTAAACATGTTAATCTGTATAAATAAAATATATACAAGGACTCTGTCAGTCCAGGCTCAGTACAGTTAAAACCTAAGTAAAATATAAAAATTTAGTCCGTGCCTCACAGGAAACACATTATATCTCCATTTCAGAGACGAAACGGTTAATGCTGTTTGGGAAATAATATTTTTTTTCTTACAATCATAGAAAATTCGTAAAATCCACAATCTGAGGGCAGAATACAGAGATTTTGAATGCTAAAGAAAGTGGTACGTATAGGAACCACTATGCTATAGAGGCTCCCCCCCCCCTTGGCACTACAGCCCCAGTGGGCCTAGGCCTACCTCCATGAACTTCTCCGTTCACTTCGGTTTTCTAGATCTTACACATTCGGTAGGACTCCTTGGGCGGGTGATCAGCTCGTCGCAAGGCCTCTACCTGTACATAAACACAGAAAAACGCACACACACAACCTAAACATCCATGCCCTGAGTGGGATTCGAACCCACGATCCCGGTTTCCAAACGAGCGAAGACAGTGCTATAGAGACTTACGTTGTATAAAAAGCTACACACCTTCGGACGTGACCTGTAATTTAATGCACCGTGTTTCAGAGTAGAGGAAAATTCGCTCCGAACCGGATTCTTCGAAAACAAGTATTTTATTAATGTTCTTGCATATATCGCTGAATATTATGTTCGTTGATTGCGTATGCGAATCCGCTGTTGCAAAGTGAATAAGGAGAACAGGAATCAGCTATTTGTACACGAGTAATTTGGGAGACTTTATGAGTTTCCTTCCAACAATTTCAGTACTTGAAATGCAGATCACATATTTCGGCACGTAATTAATCCCATCCTCAGAACTTTTACACATAAATGTATACATTAAGTGTGTATTTTAATAGGCCCGTTGTTTTCTTTTATTTGTAATAATATAAAGAAAGGTATACACCAAATGCAAAAAAAAAATGTAACCTGCATTTATGGTATTAAAAGTTGTTTGATGCTATTTGAAAAAAAAATATTTTATCAAAATAGAAGAGTATACAAAAATTCAATCAAGTAATTATGCTTTGTGTTTTGTTTATTATGTGTGAACTATTATATTGTAAATCAATTAATAAAAATACATAAATATTAACAATATCCAGCAGTACGTATATCTATATTAAGCTAATATAAACTTTGAAGAAAGCAGTCTTCTGGGATGTGGCGCCGTGTAGATATTGTGTTAACCGACGTTTCGGAGGAACGCATTAGTCTGTTAGCACCTGCTCACGCTGGTTCCTCGCTCGCGGATTTTCTTCCTTTTTCTTCTGTCCTGAAGATAGAGGCGATACGTTCGTCCGAAACGTCGGTTAACACAATATTTACACGGCGCCACGTCCCAGAAGACTGCTTTCTTCATAGTCACAGTCATGAAAACCTCAAATCTGAAAAACTTCTGTTCGAGCTCCATCTAAAATAGGAGTTATTTTGAATTAATGGGGTTAAAGTGTGATTTGAAGAATTACTGAAAATAACATGTTAAAAAAGTCGCTAATATGATTAGGTCGCAGACAGGCAGACAGATCGACGTACAAACATGACATCCACTTGAGACTTTTATTTTGTAAACAAAAACTAAATATTGTGATAAATAAAATGATGATGAAATAATTATTACCAGAATTTAATGTCTCCCCTATCGAATTATGTGGTTCGGACTATGATGCTGTAAATGAGATTTTAGTTAACTCTCTAAACAAAGCGCACGATTTGTGACAAATAAAATCTTTATGAAATGATTATTAATACATGAACGCGAAACGCTAGGCAACAAGTACAGTCACGTAACTGGCTCCCCGTCCCACACTGCTGCTTGGCACACTTACTTGCAGTTAGCGGCCGGACACGGGCTAAAGGGGAACAGACTGGGCAGTGGATCCAGATCTAGAGGCGGCAGCGAGAAAGATCCCATATCCTCCGGAGTCCAGTACGCCCCCCCACTGCCGAGACCTGCAGGAACCTGTATACCACCTGTACTAGTGTACGTGCCGCCCAAAACTGTAGGAGATGGTCCGCCACCTGCGCCTTGCAACTCCACCAGCCCGTAGTGGGGGTTGTTGGGTATGTAGCACCCATCCATCTCTCTCTCTCTCCCTCTCTCAGATTTCTCCTTCTCCTTCTTCTTCTACTTTTTTATTTGTCAGTGCAGCCCTAGGAGCCCTCTCTCTGGAACATATGAGACACACGTATATTAGCAACTGCTTCTCCGTGATAACAAAGGATGCAGAATCCTTAGAGCGCAGCCAGCCTCATTGGGCGACTGGTTGCGCTGCTCTGCGGCACGGAGCATGCACAGTTGTATGGAAGGCTTCAGATATTAATTATTACAGGCGGAGGGGTGGGATGTGGGGGTTGTTGAGAGACAAGCCAAAGGAATACTGCCTCGGCTTGGGAGCAGGCGTATCGCTATCAGAGTTTCAGCGAAACTGGGGATGTTGAAATCTCATCGGTTTAATCAAGTGACTGGGTAACTGTTTCGCAGAAAAACTATGAAAATTACGAAATATTGGCTCAAAACTGACTGATTCATTGACTAAGTGAATGAATGATTCACTGGCTCATAAGTAAATCATTAGCCTGTTCACTAACTGATTTACTGATAATTGATTTTTTCATTGGCTCGTTAAACGATTCACCAACTGAGTCACTGATTGACTGTCGTACAAGTGATTCACACCGGTTCGTTGACTGTTTTATATCACTGATTTACTGATTGACAAGTGACTCGTTCACCGGTTCACTGACTGGTTAGATTTCTGATTCATTGATTGGCTGAAAAATGACTGATTCATTGACTGATTAACTGAATGATTCACTAATAGATTCACTGACTGACAAATGACTGGTTCACCGGTTCACTAACCGGTTAGATAAATGATTCACTAACTGACTGGCTAACAAGTAACTAATTTAGTGACTGATTAACTGACTGATTCACTAATAAATTAACTGTCTGACAAATGACTCTCACCGGTTAGATAACTGATTCACTAACTGCTTGGCTAACAAATGGCTGATTCATTGAGTGATTAACTGACTGATTCACTAATAGATTCACTGACTGACAAGTGACTTGTTCACCTGTTCACTACTGGTTAGATGACTGACTGAGGAAGTTACTCCCCGAGTGAATGGGAAGTGCCTGCCGCACTGCCTAACCAAGTAACTAACTAGCTACATTAGCTGATGTAGTGAACTGCTGAGTCTCCCTCCTGGCAGTGTCAATAATTGGACATATTCACCGACTGCTCAACACAATCATAAGATATAGCTATTTATAGAGTAATGTTCTTGATTATGACACTGTGCAGTCTGGCGAGTGGTTACCCACGTTTCGGAGGTACATACTGCCTCCATCTTCAGATTACGTATCACTTTTAGCACCTACCGAACTACATGTTATAACCTAAAGGACCACAATCATATACAAGTAATTTCATATGGCTGAAAACCTTAAATTTTTATATAATGATTACTCACTCACGGACTCAAATAATACTCGGTTAACTGAATGATTAATTGACTAAATGCCATGGCTTTATTTTATGAATAATTCATTTTTGGATACAACGAAGATGCTCCGTACACCTCGGTTTCCCAGTTACCAGCTTTGTGACACTGCGCGTGCGCGGGCCAATGGTAACTTGTGTCAGCTTCAGTTAATCTGTTGCATTATGATTTATTTTCATCTGTGTTCGATGTGCGCTGCGTTAGTGGGATTTCACTTGAAAAGTGGCTTTTGATATGTGCAAAGCTTTCAGTTATCTAACAAAACATCAAATGAAACCCGACTTTATTCACATGTTATCCTCGTGTGTTGTAAGTTTATTATTTGTTAGCCTGCTGGTTCTTTTTACAACATTGTTGGCAGCGTCGAGTAGAAGGAAGAGAGGCCGTGAAGGCTCATAAGGTTGTGAGACGTCGATGTTCCCACATTTTCTAGGCAATCGGCTCACAGATGGCGAGGTTGTCAGCCTTACGCCCTAAATTACCTCTGTAACAGGCCGTAGAGGCTCATAGGTTGTGAGATGTTGAGGCTCTCACATTTTCTAGACAATCGGCTCAGAGACGGTGGTGAGAATGTCAGCCTTACGCGGAAAGCTCTCCCTGTAACAGGCCGTGGAGGCCCGTAATGTTGTGTGACGTCGATGTTCCCACATTTTCTAGACAACCGGCTCACAGATGGCGAGGTTGTCAGCCTTACGCCCTAAGTTACCCCTGTAACAGGCCGTAGAGGCCCATAGGTTTTGAGATGTTGAGGCTCTCACATTTTCTAGACAATCGGCTTACAGATGGCGGTAAGCTTGTCAGTCTTACGCACCGGCATCCATTTATCCCCCAAGAATATTTCTGGTACTCATTACTGTTAGAAGCTAAGTCGACCCCAGGGTCATAGAGCGGCTGGAAGAGTTAAGTGAATTGAAAAATCCAATATCCTCATCGGGAATCGAAATACGTTACCGCGTTCCCCAGGAAGACGTAACGGATGGTGAATTAGAAAATGATATAGAAGGAAATGGTCATCGCCTAATCGAGGTACCATCCCGGAATTTGACTGGAGGAACTGAGAAACCCACGAAATCTTTAATCAGAATGATAAAGACCTGTGCCGAGATTCGAACCGAGCACTTCCCGAATACAAGCCTAGAGCGCTACCACTATGCCAAAGTGTTCGGCGTCTTCTTGGTTATATGCTTATTCAGTAGAACTTGAAATTAACGACAGTCGTCGCGATTCTTGTTTTGTTTAATGACACTGTATCAACAATTTAGGTTATGTAGTATTGAATTGTTGGATGTTAGTGGACGAATTTTGATGCCGTCATCGTTTATTTTTAGATAATGTTCCATGATCTTTCAGGAGGGGTCTAGGATAAACCACGAATGTATTAGTCAGTGTCACCGCCGATCTCCACACTTTACAGTTCACTACAGCACCCACTGAATCTTTTCCAGCCTGCGATGTCTTAACCTGCCGTTCCCTATCAACGGCTTGAAGCATTGGAGATTCTTCAGCTTCCCGCTCTCAGGTCCTCTTGTCACAGCCGCCCGTGCAGAACTCTTAACAATTCATTGTCAACTGACGACTGCCAACTCCGAAACTCTCAGTCCAATTCTCCGTTGCCAACTCTGTCAAATTCTCTGCTGCAACTGCCAACTGTCAATTATCTCGTTGCCATTTCTTCTCAATTTACTAACTGCCATCTTAAGAGAATCTCTCAGTTATTCCTTCAGCCTGCGTGGAGTCCTCGTTATATAACCTCGGAGCGGACCCAACCAAGAACACCGTTCCTCTGTTGTTGCGTGCATGTTCGTTTTCGCTGGAACGTGTTTACCGAACCGTTGCTCAGAAACGGCCGTTTGTTGATTCGTGTATATCACAGAAATGGCTTTACTCGTTACAATGTAATCTCTGTTTTCATAACATTCCTCAACCTGTCCACATCTTCAGGGAGAAATTCACATCGCATATCTCTTGTGTTCATTTTAATATTATTTTCAAATCTATGCCTAAGCCTCTAATACAACCAAAATATTATAATTGTGCAGTTCTCATCTCCCCTTTCGTGACACAGACAGGGGCACCGCTACAGTTATTTCCGAAAGGGCAGGAACAGCCAGGTAGAAAAAATAAAAGGTAAAATTATCCCTGTAACAGGCCATGGAGGCCCATAGCATTGTGAGACGTTGAGGCTTTCACATCCTCTAGACAATCGGCTCACAGATGGCGGTGAGGTTGTCAGTCCTAAGCGCCGGCCCCCTTTCACCCCCAAAGAAGATTCCTGGTACTTATTCCTGTTAGAGGCTGAGTCGACCCCAAGGCCATATTGTGGCTGGACGGATTATTTCAATTGAAAATATCCACCTCATCAGGACTCGAACCCGCGACCATTTTGTAGAACCTATATTTGTTCCCCTTTCAATTTAGATTCGTTCCTTCATAAGATGGCGATAGAACATATACTTGCCTGACTTACCCCTCCTCGGCACCCAGAGCTGTAATCAATCAATGAACCAACGAACCAATGAGAGACGCTGTTGAATGTCGTCAAGCCACAGAACATAATTCGTCAGAAGTAGGAAAATTTGTTTAAAATTGCATAGGTAATTTTTCCATTTAGTTTTCAGGGACTCTGGTGGCTATGGAAACGGATTCCTGGCATTTTATTGGATAGCGTGATGTCAAAATAGAGAGAGAGATGGAAAAATAACAACCCCAAAAGGTATTAACATGGCTTCTGTTTGATGGAAAAAGGAAAGAAACATATCAGAGTACATTATGTGCGGCAGAAGCCATGCTGGGAAGCACAAGTTTTGATACTGGTGCGACTAAGGTGAGAACAGACCTCATTTATACCGGAACCCAAACAGACCTGAATATCTTTTTCCCCTTCTGTTTAAAACAGGTTTGTATTTGATACAATTGCCTCTACGTGCAACAGACCCTATTGCCCTTATACTCGTATGCAACATATACATATATTTCCCGAGCATACGTAAGTAATCCATTCCACATGTTCAGAAAACGCTGTTATGTGTGTTCCGCTTTACAGGACTAAATTCTGCCAGAATTTTATGGGGGGTTGAATTTGGATCATATTTATGACGCCATTGAACAACCAGAAACACATAAATTACGATTATACGCACTTCGTAACAATTCTGACGCATTCGCTACCTTTTTAGCCTAATTTCCTTGTTTTGAAATAATACAAGTAGGTTTATTTTGTAATTATCTCGAAAACCAAAAACTTACCAAAAAATGCATTGGGCGTAAAATACGTGTTTCTGGTTTACTTCATAATTTCCGTCCAGATAATCTGCGCTGTGCAGAATATTTAGTGAGGCAAGCTGAAGACGCGCACATGAAAGCCTGTAGGTCATGTGTCCGGCACTTCTGTTCTGCTTTAACTGTATTAACAAATTCTAGTGGGACATCCTGCGCTCGTACATTATTATTATTATTATTATTATTATTATTATTATTATTGGAGGGGGTGGGTATCCCCATGCACCGCGACTCCTCGTCTATTTTACGTCCCCCTGTGATATTCTACCAGTCTTTATACCCTACCGATTC